CCCCCTCCCCGCACACCTGAACCCCCTCCCCGCACACCTGAACCCCCTCCCCGCACACCTGAGCCCCCTCCCCGCACACCTGAGCCCCCTCCCCGCACACCTGAGCCCTTCCACACCTGATCCCGCATCCTCCGCACCCTCGGCCCCGCCGGGCTCCCGCGCCACGTACAGGGTCAGCCGGGGCCGCGGGCACCTGAGGGGGCACAGAAGGGTCTGGCGGGGGCGCAGGACTCGGCCGGGCCCCACGGAGCCTCCCGGGGGTCCCCAAAAAGAGGCGGGGAGCCCCACCTGCCCGCCAGGGCGTGGCAGAGGCGGATCCCGTCGGGGGCTCCGCAGATCTGGATCAGGTCCCTGCGGGAGAGCTTCAGCAGATCGGCGCCTGCGGACGGCGAGGCTCAGGGGGCGGCACAGGGGGGGTCTGGCTCTGCCCCCCAGCCCGGCCCGGGGTCTCACCGGTGAAGTTGGCGAAGACGCGGGCGCAGGCGGAGAAGCGGCGCCGGAGCAGCCACTGCTGCGTCTCCAGGGGGGATGCGCAGGGGTTCAGCGCCTGTGGGGGCTCAACGGGGGCTCAGAGGGGCACGACCCGAGCGGGCACATCCTCAGCCCCTCCTGGCGGGGCCGGGGGAGGCTCTGGGGCTGCACCGGCGGCTCCCTCACCTCGCCAGGACTCTCGGCGGGACCCTCGGCAGCGCCGGCGGGTGACACGCACACCCTGCGGGGGTGGCCGGGATAAGAGGGGGACCCCAGCAGCGGGGAAATGGGGGAATCCAGGGGTCCCCGCTCACCTCTCGGGGCTCAGCAGCTTGAAGGGGTGCGGGGACGGCAGCCCCGGGGTGCCCGGGGGGCTGCGGGGGGCACCCAGAGCGTCCGGCCAGGGGGGGCACTGAGGAGGGAGGGGGGTGATGGGTACAGGGTCCCGGGGGTATCCCCGCCCATGGGGGGGCCGGGGCCGGGCCCCACCTCGGCCAGCACGGTGCTCTCGTAGGCCGGCTGGAATTTCTCCCGCTCCGCCGCCGGCTGCTTCTCCACCTTCTCCCGGTCCGTCTTCTGCTTCCTGTCGGCCCCCTTGGGCTGTGCCGGGGGGTGAGGGCGGCCCCGGGACCTCCCGGGACCCCCGCGGGCACTCGGAGCCCGCCGAGCCCCCACCCCCCCTGCGCTGCACCACGCTCAGCGCTGGATCCCGGGAGTGGGGGGGCACTGGGAGCACTGGGAGGGAGCACTGGGAGCACTGGGAGGGAGCACTGGGAGCACTGGTTCCCCCCCGCCCCGATACCTTGAACACCTTGACCAGGCAGCTGGCGGAGTGCAGGTGCTCGGGGGGGTCCCCCTTGCCCCCCGCCCCGAAGGTGTCGATCTGGATGCGGAAGGGGACCCCCTTCTCCCCCCCGTTCTTGCGCAGCGTGAACTCGGTGCTGATGCAGTGAACCTGGGACGGGGGGACAGTGGGGTCGGGACCGGGCGCCGTGACCCCCCCAGAACCCCCCCGAGCCCCCCAAAGCCCCGGCCGGGCCTGGCTCCCACCTGCACGAACACGGATGTGCGTCTGGAGGGGTCCCAGAGGAATTCCACCGTGTTGAGCAGCGTGGGGTGGATTTGGGGTT